GCTTTTCTGGCTTTGCTGATGGAAGGAGAGATCTTGCTGACATGTTCCATCATTTCTGATGAATGGAGTGGGAATGGCGCTTTCTTGATATCATTATATGGAGACATTTGACTTGTTTTTTTTTTTTAGAAAAAACATGAATTAGACATATTTTTATGGCAAATATGGACTTTCTGTGTTTGAAGTGATGATGTCATATCCTTTCTTTCTGGACTCTGATCAAGCATCCACTAATGGTCCTGTTTTTGTCATAGATTCCCCCTATCTTTGCTAGCAGAGGGTTTTGTATAATTTTCCTAACCAAAAAGCTATAAAAACAATCTTTTTAACTTTCAGATTGACTACAAAGATGCTATTCTATATTTGTTTGGGCCAGATCTTGTTATAATTTTAGCCATATTTTCATTCATTATGGCAACTATATACCTCAAAATTAAGATCCAATTACTTAATCCATGAAGGGTAAATTGATTAAGATTTCAGAGACAAAATTTTGATATTGTAAAGTTGTATATGACAAGACTGGAAGGAATTTATTCTGGAAGTCGTCAATTTACTGTACAACTTTAACTCTTATTACCTTTCATTTTAGACGTCATCATTATTTCAGTCTTTATATTGAAGCTAATGTTAATTACCAGGTCCCCTGTTGCTTGTTGGAAAAAAACATCCATGGGAAGTTATTAAAGGAAAGTAATGGCGTTGGAATACGTTTTCCTTGCCACCATTTGTTTGATTTCACTTGCCTTGGCCTCAGAGTTTGCAAGGTAGAAGTTTTCACTAGCTATTATGTATTCCCATCTGGATGATATCAGATCAGCATTGCTGGGCCAGTTGTTAAACCCTAGTCTTTCTTATTTAAGGAGCAGGCACACAGGCCACTGTCCTTCTTGGAAGTAGGACAATGAGGATCATGGAGTGTGACTCCCAACTGAGTCCACAGTATCTGAACAAGTCCACAATCATCTACCTTTATTTGGAGTTTTATTTTTTTTCTTTTCCAGCTCACCTCTCAAATATCTCAAAGCTCTACAAGATTAAAAACTTCCGTGGGCCAATTGAACAACCTACTTAGATGGGTCATATTTTTGTCAGTATGAATCTGACCAATTCAATAGCTGGTTACAGAAAGTCCACAATTTGACCTCAGGAGACCTGTATTGATATCCTAGGTCTGCTGTTCATACGCTTGGCTTAGACAACCTTTCCAAGGTTCAATTTCCTAACATACAAATAAAAAGTAAAAACCGCCAACCCGTCTAACCAATTACTTAATATGTTATTTCTAAGGAAAAATATTTTAGAGGAAATAAATGCAGACCCAGAAGCTACGTATCTGTTTCTCTCACTCACTCCCTTGCACAGTAAATTCCATTCAGAAGCAGAAAGAAAGAGAGAAAGAGAGAAAGAAAAAGAGAGGGAAAGGAAAGAAGGAAGAAAAGAAAAAAGACATACAGAAATACAATTCAATTTACAACTTTCAACATCAACAGTCCCGTCTTTCTCTTCCTCTTTTAAGTACTATACACATAACATATGGCAGTTCTTGAAAAGGAGCAGACTCCTTCACTTCTTTTCTCTATAAACATGCATTTCCATGATGTTTTCCAAGAATTTTGGTCCGAGCTCTGTTGCCATGACTATTTTCCCATACCAGCCTCTTGAGCATCCTTCTCAGCCAGTTGCTTCCAAAGAAGAGTTTCCTCCTCCAATCAGTCTCTGAGGAGACAGAACTATTTGAACTAATTCTTGTTAGAGAGAAGATACATCCTTCTGAAGCTGTCCCTGGATTACCTGTCACCAAGCTTTTTTTCTAGTTTTAGGGATTAAAAATGAACAGTGATGCTTTCTACAGGATTGTGGAATCCTGTGAAAAGATGGAGAAGCCTCTTGGCTGTTGAAGCTCACCCTCGTGATACTGACGAGACTGGTACTCATAGGACTGTTGGCAAGTTTAGTAAAATGAAGGAGGAGAAATGAGGTATGGTACCAGGGATATTTATTAGAGAGCAAATTCTCAGGGATACATGTGAGTGAGGCTAGCGTTCCTTTAGACATCTGAGTCTAGGCTGTGCTGCTTCATTTCCAGTTACTTACAATGTTTTCCCTGTCTGAACTCTCAAGCCTTTCAGACTGCCTTGTTTTTTATGTTTTTTGTTTGTCAGGTTTCTTTTTTCCTTTCGTTGAGAATAAGTGCCATTTTGTCTCACTTCTAGAACATAAAGTTCCAAGAATATCTACTATAATAAAACGGACATTGAGCTAAGTTAGGAGATGCTGCTTTTATTCTTTACCCACTCCTTTAAATCCTAAGGACAAGTTGTCAATTACTTTTTAAAAAAATGTTATCTCCTGTGCTACAGGCTCCTTGGTGCCTCAGAAAACATAAAAGAGACAGATTTACAATCACTTTGAGCAAATTGCCTGTAGAATTCTAAGGACAGGAAATGGGGGGAGCGAATGCAGCACCCACTCTTAGACATTCCAAGCAACATGTAGAATAAACAGACACAAGAACCAAACATTCTTGGTCTCATGTTGAGGAGTAGCAAAGTGGCCTTTAGGAGGGAATTTCAAAAAGAAAAAAAAAGATAATGTGATGAAAATATGAATCCATCAAAGGAGTCAAATTGACCCGGACAAAAAAAGACGCTTTTCCAATTTTGTCTAACACTTGTTGATTCCTTTGAATGTCTGTCACTTCTGTCACTTCTGTTACCTGTGTAGACATGGCGAAAAGAAACATGTCACAGAAAGATACTTCTTACACCTTAAGATGAATATGATCCCATGGAGATTCAATTCATGAAATCTGGGTGGAAGCTGAAATTTACAAGCCCGTGGGTGATGGCCACAGCTGGTGTACAGTCCTCAGTGGTAGTGTTCTGGTCCTAATATCGCTTGAATGATAGTTTTCAGTTATGGACAATTTGGATTCCATAAAGTTTCGGCAGTTTCTAGAGATCATTTGAACTGTCATAGCTCACAGAATGCCACTAGCATATCATGTGCACTGGTGCTATGAATATAACTAAACACCTTTCAGCACAGCCCCTTAAGACAAAATTGCGTGTAGTGCCAAGGATAAGAAACCACACTGCAGAGCCAACATTTTGTATATTTCTTATGTGAAAGAAATAATCCGTTGAACCTGTCCAAAACATTAAACCCTGAATATAACAGGTAAGCTCATGTACTGGGGGCTTAGAGCAGAGGGTGATCACTATTGAAAATATCTATCTGAAAGAGGATGTAGGGAATGGTACCCAGCTGTGCTCCATCGCTCTTGAGGAATGAAGGGGAAATGTACATAAAAGGATGCGTCCTGGCCATTCGCTCTTTGTCTACTACCTTCGTGCCAGCCAGGAAGACTGTTTCATGTCTCACACCCATATTTGTCCTGTGTGTTTTACTACTCACAGAGAACTTCCCAAATCCTGGGTAGAAATTTTCTTCTGCCTGCCAAGTCCCATCCATCTCCCCCCTGGCTTTAGAACTTTAAAAAGTCTTCTTTCGCTAGGATGAATGGCTGCCAGCGCCTCTCCAGCCACAGCTGGCATCCTTCCCTCTACAGCATCCTATCTTTCAAACTACAAATGTATTACTGCCCATCTGTGCATGAGGAATTGTGCCAGAGTTTTATAAAGGATAAAAAGATGAGAAAGATAGTCCCCAGTTTAAGACTTTCATAGTCTAGGGGGAAATTTTCCAATAAGTAATAATAGCATAATTAGTATTTAATAGTTATCTTGGTAAGAAGCTTCTTTTAAAATCAAAGAAGAGGTTTTAGGAACTCAAAGATCAAGCAAGACCATATAGATAAATCAACACAAGAATGGTTGTTTTCTTCTGCAAATATTTTCTCTAAATTAGGTTAGAATCCCATGCATCAATAAACAGTTATTGTCAGTACTGTAACTCAAAGACTATGAGTTATAATAAGCTGGATTAAGAATATATTTATGAAAAAGATTTAGAGTGAATAAGAGCCAGGAGATTAGATATGTTAAATCTACCCAATCCATAGGAATAGAACAGAAAATCTTCCAGAATCTGTGTGATTGAATCTAGTTTTGAGAAGCTGAATTTAATCACTTCTGAATATACCTTAGACTGTGCTGTTATTGTGTAAAGTGGGAAGTCATTGAGAAGAATCGTTAGGTACATTTAGGAGATGGATACTGAAACTTGAAATTTGTATGTTTTCAAAACTAGGACCAAAAGAGGAATTTGGTACCCTCCATCTGAGCTTGTGGTTTCAGAACCTTTGTACATGGTCACCCTTCTTGTAAAACCTAAAAAGAAACCTGGATTACAGGGAGATTAAAGAGATAATCTATCAATGTATATATGTTTACTGGGCATGGACTAATGAGAGTATTACTTAATTTAAGCTAAAATGTCTGTGAGGTTATCACAGTCCACACTGTTGCATGGAGGCATTTTTGTATTACTACAAACTTCCATCCTCTGCTTGGTTCCGTAGGAGAAGCAGAATTTATCTCAGACTTGTGTAGAAAGCCATCCCCAATTAGAAACAACCCTCCAAAGACCATCAAGAAGAAAGGCAATTTCCTTCTAGAAACAGTATGGAGAAAGCTATTTCAGCGATGCTAAAATGCAAGTGCCTGCATCTTCAGAGCTTACAGTGGGGAAAGGATGCTGTTTAAGATTACTGCTAGTCACATTTACTGTAGGAATCACTTCTGGGAGAGTATATGCAAACTCATTAGTCATCTTTAGTTTCTGTGACTCCCACTCAAGCCTGAAATTTTACTTCAGGGAATCGTACAGATGTTAATTTCCAAGCATCTTTAAAACCATCTTGTTGATGCTCAACAAGCAACATCTTATCGGATTCTTCCTAGAGTTCTCATATCTTGATTTCAATATTCTTTTTCATAAGAGCATAGCTTTCATTGGTAACCTTAAAAATGCCTTCCATAATCCAAAACATAATGCCCACCTTATGTAACGGGACTTTCTTTCCCCTCTTAAAGTTATCCTAGGCTTCTGCATCTCCTTCAATGTCGATGTGAAAAACTCAATGAGTTTCAGTGGCCCAGTGGAAGACATGTTTGGATACACTGTTCAACAATATGAAAATGAAGAAGGCAAATGGTAAGCAAACAGGCGCTGTTATCCAGCTGTCTTACACAGAAATGGAAAATATTTTCAGTGTGTTTTATGAATGGAACAATAACTGAATGACTCATTTGTGCTAGAAAATGTGTTCTAGTGGGTCGATGATGGAAGCTGACACGAAGTCAAAGACACAGCATTCCTTAAAATTTTAAAGGAAGTGGTTACAGATTTCTGATGGTTAACTCCTAGGATGACCTCAAGGAAGATTCTTATCCCAGTATTCAGTAACTGAGTTGCTTTGGCAAGTCTTCCTGATTTAATTCTTATTCTACAGTTACTTGAATAGTTGACTGATTCATTAAGAGGACAAGGTGGGAGGTCAGATTCCCAGAAGGGGTGACTATTACTGTAGTTGCTGGGGGCTTAGGTTTATGTTTTGTTTTGTTGGTTTTTTGTTTTGGGGTTTTGGATGGTTGGTTGGTTGTTTTTTGTGCTTCGGTAGTAGACTAAGTGTTGTGTATAGATAACAGTGAACCATACTAAATTTCTAATCTATACTTTTAGTGCTGTGAACCTTCAGTTAACTTCATTATAGATAAGTTAGAGTATATTTAACTTTTAACAGTTTTAAAAAATAAATAGTAGAGATCTTTTACTTTTCATCCCATCTAATGGTGATCAATACAGTTTCTTAAAATTGTATATTAGAGAACTAAGTCTGAGTTAGGTAAGTATCTGTGTCATCATTTTGAAAGCCCGTTTTTGTTTTCCCTAGCAAAAGAGACTTGTATTGTCTAGGATAACAGTAATATGCCAGTTCACAATTATTATTTCACAGAGGAAATGTCTGTTTTGATTTTTTCTCTAGACTTTTGAAGTTTGATCATAATTCCCTAAAGACAATAAAAAGTAATAATGTGAGTTCTCACATTTTCTAAGTATGAATGTTGTAGTCTATGTGTACATTACCATTTGTGAGAATTTTACCCAGATTTCTATGAAGTTTTACATCCTCTTTCTTACACTCCCCATGCTTGACCTCATTCTGTTTCTAAAGTTGCACAAAGTCATTCTTTTAGACACCAGACACCACTTACACTCTTCCAAAAATTGTGCCTGCAGTTCAAACATCTCAACCTATGGGAAAAAAATTGTTAGTGGCTAGTTACCCAGGCTTCTTTATACCATGTAATGAGCACACCTAAAAGTTGATTTTTACCTATCATTGATAGGTATATTCATGTATGTAATAAAGAAAGCTATAGTGAACATCAAACTGTGAAGACTGAAAATACCTACTTAAAGGACAGTCAAATATTGACAAAATATTTTATAAAATTTGCGACTCTTAATGAACCTCCGCTTTGTGCCAGATTAAGAAACTAAGTCAGTCTTGAATGGGGCCTTGTTACTATGATATGTCTCATTCCCAGAGTCTTTGTGTCTTCTCGATCTAGATGAGAGGTGAAGAACCAGATGAGAAGAAGACAGAACAAATGACTGCAGAGATTAACAATAAAAATCAGAGTAGCAAAGCAAATGTTGCTAGTGAAATGTCTGAATGAACTTAATATTAAACTGGACTTTGAGCACATGGTGAATTCTAGAGACATTTGGGAGACAATAATAAGGGCTCAACCTTCTTTTAGATCTGAGACCATGCCTTACAGATCTTGCTTCAGCATTAAATGTAAACGAGTTCTATTTGCAACTAGTTTTTAGAAGATGAAGACATTTTCTTTAACTATAGCTAAGTTTGGATCAATTATGTAACAAATATGTCCTACATATTCATCATTGTTCTAACACTGTGAGAAATGCAAGATTAAAGAAATGGAAGCTTATAATCCAGAAGGTATACTTGAAACAATTAAGAATCAACAGTAGTTGGGACACACTGTGAGCTCCTTGGGAGTTCCAGAAGAAGAAAACATTTCTTGTTTGTGATCTCAGTCTTGAAAGATGACTTATCTGTGGATAAGAAGAAACGGAAGTGTCACTCCAAGCTGAGGAGCCACATGAGTAAAGATAGACCTTCAAAGACAAAGAACAGATCTTAGAACCAAAAAGGGGCCTGAAGAAACCACTGAAGACTATTGCATTAAATGTCATTTTAGAAATTAGTGTAGATCTGAGTGGAATTTTAGGAAACTTACCTACAAGCAAGAATCTGATTTAGTACTTAAGAGATAAGGCAGCAAGGCTTGGTGAGACAGCCTGAGATTGTAACACTCGAAACACTAAGATGGGAAGGTCACTAGTTCATGGTCATTCTCCATCATATGGGGAATTCAAGGCCCACATACGCTACTTGAAATACTGTTTTAAACAAACAAACAAACAAACAGAAATAAAATAAACTAATACTAGAGATAAGGCTCAGAGCTGCCCTATGGTGATTGGAATCAAATAAATGTCTATCCAACATCAACTTGGATGAATCATTAAGTTTTGATGGAACTTTAAAAAGAAAAAGTTACAATATCAAAGTGATGAGACATATTCCAAAATTTCAGTATTAGATTCTTGGAAAATGGGGAATCATTGACAGAGACATATTTTGCATACATATTTACAAAATCAATCTTCTTTGAAAGTTGATGGGTTGGCTCATTTTAAAAAAACTTGGTGTCTAGATAGTTCAAAACTTTAAAGTAGAATACAGACAGGTAGTATCTGTAAACAAACATGGTAGAACACACACTTTAGTGCCTGGCTTTAATGCCCAGCCTGGTACCCTGCCCTGTATCTGACATGCAGACATAAACATAATACTCACAGGATCATTATATATTGGCTCAACAGGTAAATCTTGTTTAACATGCTCTTCCCTCCCATGAAGTACAACTACATAAAAGTAAATAAAGAGTAGTTCTCCTTGAAAAAGGGAACTGATTAAAGCAGTGCTAGAAATGGATCTCAAGATTCCCTGGGCTTTTTTCTTTATCAGAAATACATTAAAAAGTAAATTACGATAATCGTCATTTTCATGGCTAGCACCAGATTTTGCATATCAATATGTTTGTGAGAATTTGTGAGCATTTGGGAAATATATGGATATCAACTACCTGTTTCTATTCTAACATCCCTTATTTCACAACAACTGAACTGGTATGAATAAATGAATTTAAAAGTAAGAAGACTTCCATCCCAAAATGCCTGTGACATGGTGGCCAACAGTGGCGCTAACGTGTTTGGATATTCTACAAATGTTTATACAATTAGACAGAATGCAGGCTTGCTCTGGGAAATTCACTATGGAGTAACTGATGGACTCTGGGCAAGGTGGATTCCATTGTGTAAATTTCTTCAGGAATGAACAGTTTCACAAGTCATATTCTAGTCCACATTCTAGAAACTTATCCAACTTAGGCCTAAAAAAAAAAGCAAAACATAAACAAAAACCACTTTGATTCATCTTACCTCTTGACTGCATCATGCCTAAAGAATGAATTCTTTTGGTGTCATTACGTGTTTGAAAAACATTGTATAAATTCTGTTGAAAGAATTAAAACAACAAGAGTGTAGCTTTATGTCTCCTTTACCTCTCAAGATTTTATCACCAAGACTAATTTACTTTATGACGTCTGTCCAGAAACCACGTGTTTTCTCAGTAACAGAACTCACCATGTATACCTCTGGTTAAGATCAGTTTTGTTCATCATGAATGCTACAGCATTCAAGTGATTTCTATGTGGTTCAGAAGAATCCAGACAAGCAAAAGTTGCTTAATAGTTTCACTATGAAGAAAAGTGATTAAAATATGCATAGCCCTACACAAGCTTTCCGGATTCCCAGACTTGATGGTAGCCATCAGAAAAGCAATGTCTCAGGCACTCAGGGAAAATACAAGATGTCATTTGGGGATTTCCACTATTTTCTTCCAATCCTTTTTTTCTGCTCTGGACCTTTTAATCCATGTCCAGGCTACCTCTGTTGGAGTCTTTTGTGACTTTACTGGGCATGTTATTCCCTACTGGATGTCAGGTTGTAAGTAAATAGATCTCTTCAAACCCAATCCTCAGGTCAATGTGTATCAAAACTCTGCTGTCCTTTGATTTCTTCCTGGATGACTCTAGACTGTGCTAGGAAAGGGTACCATGGCTGGTGTCACTGATATTCTGCATCCAATATGTATATCTTTTAGATAAAAATTATTCACACTGGGAGGGAAAAGACTTCCTAAAGTTCTTCTCTTTTAGAGTTTAGCATAATATTTACTTTGTGTTGTTTATAATGAGTTTTGGAACTGACATTTCCTCCCTGCTAAAATTGCCTTTTTCCCCCTTTTATGCTTAATACATTTCCAGCCTTCTGCCATTTTCAAAATCAAGATCAATACAACTAATACAGAAATTGTACAAGTTTAATTTCTTTGAGATCACAAAACAGTTATTCCACTCATGAAAGAAAACAAAACCTGGCTGAAAGAGGTTTGTGACAGTCTGAGAGTGACTTTGGTTGTCCCTGTTACACATCAATCAAGGGTTAGGTTTTAAAAGGTTCTAGAGAATATTGTAAATAAGGAAAAAAAAAAACCTTTCCATGAATTTTCCTTGTAGAACAACACCAGAGATCACCCACTCTTCCAATAAATAAGGCCATAGTTATAAGAACTACTATGAAAAGCAATTTTTTTCTCAACCCTCTAAGCTTTTATTGTAACTGGAACTTTTACTTGGAGAAAATATATTTTCTCTAGCCTTCATGATGCTGACTTTATTAGCTGTTTCTGTAGAGATCCGTAAGGATACCCCTAAAACCATTTTATCTCTTTCCCTATAAACAATTCATTTCAAAATGTTGTATATAAAACCAAAATTTATGTGGGGCATAGTAGTATGCTCTTTTAATTCCTGCACTCCGCAGGCAGAGGCCTGATGATCTATGTGAATTTAGGCCAGGCTGGTCTACATAGGAAGCTTCAGGATAGCCAGGACTTCAGAATAAGACTGTGTCTCAAAGAAAAGACAAAAGCAAAAATAAATTAGTTGAAATACAAGTGTGACAAGCTGACTTGAGTGGAGGGTACTGTG